TTTTCTAGACTGTGCCTTCTGTAAGTGATCCATGTTATGCTAGCTAACAGAGCCTTGCATGCAGTCCATTTCCCTAAACTGTTTGAAACTATGGAGATTAGTTCACACCCATGGAATTACTTTAGCCAAGAATCTGAAGTGAGAGTTTGATGGATGTCAAGAAAGAAAAGGGATGAAGACAGGCAGATGTATTTGATGAAAGGGGGGTGGCTGAATTCCTCCCCTGAAAACCTGCAAGTACCATAATTAAGGCTAAGATGGCTTTAATTTGAGCCATCAGTGTGATTCACCAACTACAAGTGTGTGCGTCCGTGTGTGCGTGCACACACACATAAACACATATGTGAATTAATTAATTCAGGGGTAAGCAGCCTTCAAAGATTCAGATATTCATTTCAGATGTTCTGGGAACACATGGCAGTCTTCTGCATGTTGCCCATCCTTCAAGCAATTGGTAACAAGTTACTTGCCCTTACAGTGGTCCTGTGGGTGAACACAAGAAAGACTATAAAATACTGGGAATTGATTGTGCATTAGACATTGAGTATCTTGTATTTTCTGCTTTTGCTATTTCTGGAATATTTTGTTTTGTGGTTTTGTGACTGTCTTGCTATGGTGAACGTGCTACATGAACTGGAAAACTATAGAAAACATTTCCCTTTTAGAAGTGTAATAATTAAAAAAGAGAGAGAACAAACATTTGTTGTTGATTACCCATGTCACACACACCCATCTCATATTTGGTTGTCTGAAGTTCTTTTTTCATAGACGTGTAATGCCTTTTTTTCCATTCCCCAGTGACCCTCTGTTCTCTGCTCAGCGTCTTCCACCACATGGCTATCCACTGGAACACCCTTTTAACAAAGATGGTTACCGTTACATTTTAGCTGAGCCTGACCCTCATGCACCTGATCCAGAGAAGCTGGAGCTTGACTGTTGGGCAGGCAAACCCATTCCTGGAGATCTCTACCGAGCCTGTCTGTACGAACGGGTCCTTCTTGCCCTACATGACAGAGGTACAGAGCTTCCAAATTCTGCCTGAGAGCTTCTTGCTTGTAGGTCAAGGCTACTTGACAAGCAGGGCTTATGCAAAACTAAACCAGAGTTCATACTTCTTAACAATGCAAATAATTCTTGCAAGCTTCATAATACCTGGAGAGAGGTGCTTTGAATAGAGTCCTGGGTTCTGTTCCATTTATCCGTTTTATGGTTGCTCTACAGAGATTAAAACAAGATGGTCCCTATTTCACAGTCCAGTAAGTTCAAGTTAAATTCAAAATGACATGATTTATTTTAACGGGAGGGGGCCTCTTCCAGCCTTAGAGTTGAATTCAACTTCAGATTAAATCCCTGTAGTGAGAGGCCTTATTTTCGGGAAAACAGGGTAGTCCAACATAGTTGGAGAATAGTTGGGACTCAGCGGTCACCTAGATGTTATGGTGCTCAAACACTTTTTAGGACCAGCTAGCAGGGCCAGTAAGGCAGAATTGCAGCTGTACTCTAATGTGATCTGAAAGGGCATATTGGCAGCCTTGGTGCATGTCCATGTAGAGAATCATATTAAACTCAAATGGTAAAAAGGAGGCCTTAAGGCTTCAGCTGCATACCCTCTGTGTTGGACTACAACAGCAGCTGGCTAATGGATTCTGAGAGTTGTAATTAAAAAATCTGGAAAGGCTTGCATTATGGAAGATTGCTTTAAAACGGTGGTTCCCAACCTTAGGTCCCCAGATATTCTTGGACTAAAACTCTCAGAAGACTTCACTACCAGCTGTGCTGACCAGGATTTCTGGGGATTGTAGTCCAAGAACATCTGGGGACCCAAGGTTGGGAACTATCAAAAGATGACTTACCTTGATTCTTGAAATATGCATTTATCTTAAAAGGCGTGCCATAGTTCAGCCAAATGCACTGACCTTGATGTTGGAATATTTGGTGCTGTTCTGTAACCAAATATATTTTTGTGTGTGTGTTAGTAAGAGGGAACCAGTTTTATTTTTAACCTGCTGTGTATAAAGTTTTATAATGTTAGGCACTTGAACATGTGAAATAGCCTTATAACAGGTTGGGACATTTGTAAGGAAAATACACCAGAAATTGCCAGTCACAAGAACACGTGTTAATCAGAAAGTATGAGAAGACCACCCTTCCAAAAAGATCCTGAGGCTGTTGCAATGCCGAGTTTTCTTATCATAGTTGGATCAGAAATACACATTCATTTTTTGTGGCTGTTCTCATATGTGCATTTTTTTAAAACTTGCAAAATAATCTGACATTAAGAAAATGCTTCCGATATTGTCCCAGCAAAGCAGAGAGATTAAGTTTCCAACTGAAGTCTTTCAGGAAAAATGCCTTCCACTTTCTCCGGGTTGTGGAGAACCGTTGTCGGTCATGATTGTCCTAGATTATGTAAATGAATCAGTTCAGCTCAGGGGAGACATTTTAAGCATTTTCTTCCTTGGTGGCTTTCCTCCAACTTGAGCATTAACAACACATGAAAGGCTTAGCGTTCTTTCCCTTTCCCTTCCAACAACTGCAGCTCCTCAGTTGAAGATCTCAGATGACAGGCTGACAGTCATAGGAGAAAAAGGCTACTCCATGGTACGAGCTTCACATGGAGTGCGGAAGGGTGCTTGGTATTTTGAGATATCTGTGGATGAGATGCCTCCGGAAACAGCTGCCAGACTTGGCTGGTCTCAGCCACTAGGTAAGTCTGTGGTCCCTTATTTTATTTCGTTACTTTCACTTTTTCCCCCTTATGGAACTTGAGGCCCTGAACTGTTTAGCTTCAGCAAGGTGCCTGTATCCTGCACCTTCTGACTATCCTGTGGGAACAGTTCGATCCTGATGTTTTCCTTTATCTTTTTATCCATCAGGGAAATCTGTTACCTTTATGGACTGTCAGTTTTGAGCATCTAACTCAATGACAGCTGAAAGGAGACATGACCTCTTTGCCTAGTTTTGCTTATTTTGCTATCTATCCAGGCCAGCTAATTGTGTCCAGTTAGAATAGTAACAGCTGAGTCGCTTATTACAGTAGTATCCACAGGCCTGTTTTGGACATTATTCATGTATGAGGCTTTCTGTTCATAAACTTCAGGTGTTTAAGTACTCTGTGACTTGAACAAATCCATGCCCTGATTTGCTATCTTCTCTGCTGAGCTCAAGGCAGGTTACCAGACTCTCCTCCTTGCTTTGTCCTCACAAAACCCTGTGAGGTAGGTCAGCCTAAGAGATGTTGACTGGTCCAAGTTGTAATTTTTGAAAGAAGTAACTGTGCTAACCTGTACGAGCATATCCAGACAAAAGCAAAACAAAAAAAGGTAGTGGCCCCTTAAAGACTAATTGTTATTTTTCATGAGGAAGTGGAATTGATCCATGAAAACTCACCTGGAAACATAACGATCTTTAAAGTGCCACTGATTTTCCTGTTTGTCTGCTTATGGGTGAACCAAGATCTTTCAGTGATTGTCATGGCAGAGTTGGGGTTTGAATCCAAGTCTCCTCACATTCCAACCACCATGATACATTTACCATGTGATGTTTCTATGAAATTTCATTGTATAGGGACCTAGATTTTTTTGCACCATGAAACATCTACCCTGTTTCCCCAAAAATAAGACCTAACCTGAAAATAAGCCCTAGTATGAGTTTTCAGGATTCTTATAATACAAGCCCTACTCCAAAAATAGTCCAAAGCAAACTCATTAAATCAGTTGACTTAGCAAGTTCCATTCATCAGTGGTCATTCATCAGACTAACAATTGCATTTAACATTTTCAAATCATTACAGCCATCAAAGCCATTAAAATAACAGAGCTGTACTTAATAAAACTTTAAAACCATTTAAAAGATCACTTTGAAGAGATGCTTCCTAAGTGCTTATCAGGCACACACAACCCCAAAAAGTTTTTAAAATATTGTGGCAACTTAAAAGACTAACTGCTGTATTTTAATGTGAACTGTTTGGGGTTGGTTGGTTGGTTTTTGGTCTGATATGCTTCCATAGACTTTCACGGCTACTTCTTTGAAAACTGTTCCTAAAAGCCACAGGAGTGGGACCTAATCACAGCAGGGCAAGAAGTGTATTCCACAGCAGAGAAAGCCATTTCCTACATATGCAGCAGGCAGGCCTTTGGGTGAGTTTGTGGGCTGAAGAAGAGAGCTTCGCCCGAAGGGCTTAACTTCTGGATATGCTCATAATGAGGCAGGTGGTCTCTTAGAAGGCCAGGTTATGCAGCAGGCAGGCCTTTGGGTGAGTTTATGGGCTGAAGAAGAGAGCTCTACTTCTGGATAGGCTCATAATGAGGCAGGTAGTCTCTTAGAAGGCCAGGCCCCAAGCCATACTACATCATGTCACTTGCTGCATTCCAATGCCTCATTTTCCATAGGGAACCTTCAGGCTCCCCTAGGCTATGACAAATTCAGTTATTCCTGGCGCAGCAAAAAAGGCACAAAGTTCCACCAGTCCATCGGTAAACATTATTCATCCAGCTATGGACAAGGAGATGTGCTCGGTTTTTATATCAGCCTTCCAGATGACACTGAAACTGCCAAATCCCTGCCAGATACTTACAAAGACAAGGTAAGATGACCCCCTTCCGGGTGTGATTCCCCATTGTTTATATCTTGTGTATAAGTTATCTGTTGGCATGCACGGTGAGTGAATGGTTTTGATTGGCAAAGATAAGTTGAATGTGGGCAAGGAGAATGTTAAAATCAATTGGGAGTGAGGAGTGGCATGTGAATGTGTGGAACTGTGTTCCTATTGGCTGTTAATGTTGCCAGTCTGTATAGATGCTCCTAAAGGTGGGGGTGTTTGGAAGAAGGCAGTTCAGTTAAGTTTTAGCTGAGCAGTTCAGTTAATTTTGCTACAAGCATTCAGATTAGGAAAGAGAGTTTTGAGTTGTGTTAGGGTGAAACTTGGGTTAAAGAGTGGGAGCTGTGAAGCAGTTAAGAGCTGTACTAAAGGGTGCTTGTTTTTTTTTTGTGAAGACGTTATATAGCATATTCACACATACTTGTTTAAAATTAAGTATATTTATATAATATATTTAAGCTCTAAAGAAAGAGAAATGAAATAAAGTAATTTCAGCTGTATACTAAGAACTAAACTGATTCTAACTTGGAACCTTCTTATTAGTTGGTGTTCTTTCAATAAAATTTTTTGTTGTTGCTTTCTTTTCTTTTCCAACCCTGTTTTTTGTTTTTGAACATAGCATTCACAAGTTGTTATTCTGTGCATACCACTGGGGTATGAAGTCAAGGTTGTGCCCCCAAAATACCATAGGCTGTGTGTGTATCACCAAAAGTGTTCTTTCTTTTATTTTTGTTTATGCCATAACTTTCTCCCCGTAGAGCAGTGTTTCCTAACCTAGTGGTCATGACCTCGATGGGATTGTAAAGGGTTTGGGGTGTGTGTGTCGAGAGTCACCTTATATGTGTTGTAGCCCTTGTTAAATAATTTCTTCCTTGACCTTTCAGAGCAGGATATTAAATTTGGCTTCTGTATATGAGAAACAGGGCCTTTGGGCAAGAAAGAAGCCTCTGCTTTCTGAGAAGGGATAACTTTACCCCATTAAAAGTGCCTTTTAATGTAAATATGGCAGGAAGACCACAGGCTATTAGGCTATTATAAGAAGGGTCACAATTTGAAAAAGGTTGGAGGCTATTGTTGTAGGGGGACTCAAGGTGACCTAGAAAATGGCAGTATAAATTTAACCCTTATCTGTGGCAGTCTTCAAGCGGCAGTGGAAGGGGAATGCTGACTGTTTACCTGATTTGGTAAACGAAGTATTCCAGGAAAGGAGTTCCTGTTTATAAGTTAACCAGCAACCCCAAACTGAAGGAAGGTGTTTAGGGATGTATTCTCAAAGGCTTTCACAGCCCGGATCCGATGGTTGTTGTGGGTTTTTCAGGCTCTTTGGCCGTGCTTTGAAGGTTGTTCTTCCTGACGTTTCGCCAGTCTCTGTAGCCAGCATCTTCAGAGGACTGGAGTAGGAACTCTGTCCATGCTCTGTTGCTGTTTGTTGGATAGTTGAGTATTTATAGCGGTGGGAACAGCTTTTGTCTTTTTTCAGGAGATATGGTGATCAGTGTGTTTTTTGTTGTGATAAGAGGGGATAGATTATCTGTTACTGTGATTGATGGGTGTTTTTAGCTGGTCTTTTTTGTGCAATGATCCTTGGTCCTTGTGACTGGGTAGAGTTCATTGACCTTTTACAGGCTGTATTTTTCAATATTGGGAACCAGGCTGTGTTTAGTTTTAGGCCTTCTTCCTTTTTGTTGAAGTTCTGTTGATGTTTATGGATTTCAGTGGCTTCGTGATTGTACATACTAGGTGGAGGAAAGCAGGGTGAGCACCATATTGTGTATCTTCTCCTTCACTGTCTTAAGGCAGAGAATGGAACTTGGTTGTAACCTTGTTTTGCTTGTGCACTATCCCCAACATTCTCGCATTAAAGAATGGCACGGAGTGAATCCATTGCATACAATATCAGTTGAAATTATCATGGAAGTTACAAACTTTGAAAGCTGAGATCCTTAGTAAATTGACTTCCATACCAGGATTTTGGTTCATGCTTGCATACTTGCATTTCTACATCTATCCATTTTTAAAATCACCCGTCAAGAAGCTGGTTGGAGGAGGGGGTTAGTTTAGAATAGTTTTTCACTCCCCTCCATCCTCACAACAGCTGTGTGAGGCAGGGTGGACAAAGGAAAGAGTAATGCCACAACATCAATCAGTTGGATTCAGTCCTGAAACTCTTTGGTTGTAATCTGACATTGTGAGTACTTTACTACCATCTGTTGATGCCCAAAGACTTTTGACCACTAAATATACACATAGTTGGAGTGATTCTGGGAATAAAACAAAACAGAATAGTTCACACCGTATGCAGTTGTGAACTAACCAATGGAATTCACTATGGATTTGATTGCTACCAAATTAGATAGTTTTAAAAGTAGCCTAAACACATTAGTTCAAGATTGGTTGTCAGTGGATGCTAGTCACATGATCTTCATTTTGCCTCCAGAATCAGAGGTGGCATCTGGTAAAAGGACACCAGTTGTTTGGAAAAGTGAGCAGGAGGGACCTACCAGGCTCCTGTTGTGCTTGTGGGCTTCCCAGAATCCTCTTGTTAATGATAACAAGAAACAAGCCCCTGGACTAGACAGGCCTTTGGTCTGGAATAGAGGTCCATGTCTTCTTATAAGTCCATTTACTTTTTTTTTACTGAACATACAAATATCTCACATTTTTTGGTATCAATCTTTGCAAGATAGCTGATGAAACAACCAATAAAAACAATGTATGTCTTTCAGTGGTTCCCAATGTTTTTTTTAAGTCAGTCTCCAAGTTACCTGCGACCCCTTTGCCACATTTGCGTGAGAAGGCATTTTTAATGGAGCAAGTCATCCCTTCTCAGAAAGTAGAGGCTTCTTTCTCCCCCAAAGGACCTGCTTCTCCTACATACACATATGCACTAACTGTAATATCTGGCTCTGAAAGGCCAAGGAAGAAATTATTTAACAAGGGCTATGACAAGGGCTAGAAAGTGCATTATAACTCCTCTTGGGAGTTCTGACCATGAAATTGGGAAACATTGATGTATTTGAAGGATTATTCCTATTATGTTGCTTAACGCATCAGAGTCCTATTGTATATTCTATCTGTTAGCACAGACATATCTGGCTGTTCCACAGCTAATGAGTATGACAGCTTTCCTCGTTGTAGTATTTGGAGAATTTTGCATGAGACTCCATTCTGTTTGGCATTTATCAATCTCCGTAACCAATGTTGGTACTATGTTAAATCTTATCTTCCTGTTTTAGTAACACTTTTGTACCTGTCACAATTCTGCCTTTCTTAGGCTTTGATTAAGTTCAAAAGCTACTTGTACTTTGAAGAGAAGGACTTTGTGGATAAAGCAGAGAAGAGTTTAAAACAAGCTCCTGGAAGTGAAGTAAGTTAGAGCTTAGAAGAAGAAGCTTGATTGATGCATTGAAGGGAACTGCAATAAAGTGAAAACACTGATGCCCAGGCTCAGAATTTTATGGCTCCATTATGTGAATTTCTGTAATAGATATATGGATGAATGTTAAAAATGACCAGCCAGGATCAAGCCACAATGCCATCCTATTCCCTTCCGCACATTTGGAATCTGTTGGCCTAAATATACTGGTGATAATTACCATATTTTTCCATGTATAAGACTATACTTTTGTCTAAAATCTTTAGACTAAAAATTGAAGGTCGTCTTATACATGGAGGTAAGCTGAGGAGAGAAAAAACAAGTGGAGGGGAAAGCAGGGATCAAAGTGATCCTGGAGGGCTTTGATCCCTGCTTCCCCCCCACGTACTAAGCCTTAGCAAAAGGAAAGCAGGGATCAAAGCACTGCAAGATGGCTTTGATCCTTGCTTTCCCCTCTGCTTACTAAGTTCCATGGGGCTTAGCAAGTGTAGGGGGAAAGATCAAAGCAATCCCATGGCTGTATAAGGGGAAGAGGGATCAAAATGATTATGCAGTCACAGGATTGCTTTGATCCCTTTCCCCTACACTTGCTAAGCCCCACTTAGATTTCTTAATTTTGGGTTAGAAAAGTGGGGGTGTCTTATACATGGGGGCATCTTATACATGGAAAAATACGGTAGGTTTCTTTCCTTTCCACTTGTTTCAGACAGGCTGTGGAGGTTTTGGTCCTGTGCTTAACATCTGTAATAGACTGGGTGTTAGCTAATATGGTTGGGGAACTTCTGGCCATGGGGCTGAACCCAGCCTTCTGGACTTCCCCAGAAGGCTCTGCTATATTCCCCATGACACCATCATTTGATGGATTCGCAGCATGTGCATGAACCCTCCTTCTTTCCACACCCATATTTGAAGTGCACCTCCTAAGAAATTTAAGTGAGAGATTCAAACTAAACTAGCAAGGTATTTTTAATCCCAGTGGTCCCTGAGAACTTGCCTGAAATTGAATTAAATCCTTAGGCAAAAGAGGTTCCTCTCTTTAGGCTAATGGTGTGCGGCCTCATCCTGACAAGACTGAAGGGTACCAGGTCACCAGGACCACCAGTCCTGCACGTAGGACACAGCTTCTTCCTTCAGCGTAGTGGGTTTGCAGTCCAGTAGCGCTTGGGGATTCAGAGGGTGGTGGCTGTGGCCAGGTGAACTGTCTTTCTGAAGAAGTATTCACTTGTGTGTTGGTCGCAGCAAGGTTAGATTACTGCAAACCAAGCTTATTCAGGCTCTCACAAAATGTAGTACCCAGTGGCTGTTTTATACTAGAATCTGGTATATTTCTAGACAAAACTCACGTTTCAGGATTCCCAGTTGGTGTAGTGGTGATGGACTAGGACTCTGGAGACCTGGGCTGGAATCCTCAGAGCCATGGAAACACACTGGTGGAGTGGAACTGGGAGGAACTCCCACACACGCCCACACACCAACACACCCAAGTATTTCAATGTGTGTTGTCACCATTTAATACAGTTAGTAGGAATGTGTGCCTCAGTTGTAGAATCTCTCTCTCTCTCTGTCTCTCACTCACTTGCACGCACACACACACAAAAAAAAACACACACACGTGCCCACAGAGTAAATCTCTCTCTCTCTCTGTCTCTCACTCACTCGCACGTACACACACAAAAACACACACACGTGCCCACAGAGTAAGAAAGAGAGATGTGGAGCTACATTAGTACCGTGATTTTGCCCTTATATGTGGTTTCTAAAAACATGTGTACTAGATAAAAATAAATAAATAAATGGGAATTCCTAGTGTGGTGTAATGGATAGAGCGACAGACTAGGACTTTGGAGAACAGGGTTCAAATCCCTGCACAGCCATGGAAACTGACTGGGGGAATGGAACTGGTAAATTCACTCCTTGAATATCTCACTTACCTTGAAGCCCCATTAGGATCCTTGTAAGTCAGTTCCAACTTAATTATTTATTTACTCGATGGCAGAAAACACATACACACACACACTAGATAGGAAGCTGTAGCTTCTTGCAATTAGCAACCATATTGAATCCTGTGATTTCTAATGGGGCAGGTGCTCCTCTATTTGGATATTTCACATTCAGAATGAATTTTGAAAAAAAAAAAAAATCCTTGCTCATTCTCATTTGTTTGGCCAGCTCATCTGGTGTGCCAGAGAATCCTGGGGTGGTTCTTTGCTTTCAGACACTACTTTTTGCAGTCATGAGAGCTAGAACCTTCCATCATATCGTTTTCAACAAAGGCAATGTTTGTGATTTCTGTTTTGGTTCATGGGCTGAGGATCCCAATGAGAGTTTGTCAGCTGTAGAAAAAGTCTTAAGGGCTGCATTCTGAAGGTTGCAAATTTGCTAAGATGTTGATCTCTAAACAAAGAAAACATTTTAAGAATTCTTGCAACTCTTTACAACTCTTTGACCTATAATAAAATGTCATTTCAAGAAATTGCTTGGCATACTGTTTGTTTCTCTTTGAGGTGCTATATGCAAGCTATCCCAAGGAGAAACGGTGCAGATGTTGCAGAGCCCGGGGTGTGTGCTGCTAAGACATAACAGTGGAGGAAAGGGAATTAAGCAGGTCAGAGGGAAGTGCTGAAAGATTACAGTAGCATTGTGCTCCATGGACTGACTCCTGGCTGTCTCTTTCAGATAATCTTCTACAAAAATGGTGCCAGCCAAGGAGTTGCATACAAAGATATTTTTGAAGGTGTTTATTTCCCTGCTGTTTCTCTGTATAAAGGCTGCACGGTACGTTGAACCTGATAGGTTGATACGAGTTCACCTCTTGCTCATCTGATAAGTGTTTGGCCTGAAACAAGAGTGTTGGAGTCCACCTATAAGCCCACATTGGCAAAACGGTGGGGCAAAGAGAGGTATTTTGGGTCTTAGGCACGTTTAACAGCTGCCAGGTTAGGGATACTTGTACAGATGCGAATTTATTCTTTAGGCTCTTTTTGCACTTACATTCCACTTTTCCTCCAGTGGTGAAATATTTGGCCTTCTCCTCTCCATTTTATCCATAGAACAACCTTATGAGTTGGGCCAAGCTGAAAGAGAGTGGCTTTTTCAAAAACCAGTGAGCTTAATTAAGAGTTTAGTGAGGACAAGCACCTAAATGTCCCAAGTCAATCAGCCCCACATCTGTGTCACATTGGTTCTCTGATTCTTCATGGGTTTCTCACATCAAAACTGCTCCTGTATCATCTCAGAGTTAGGTCTCTGGGAAACTCATCTCCATCCTTCTGTTCCCTTGCAGCAAGTTCTGTACACGGCTGTTTGTAGAAAAGAAATGCCTCAGGGAACTAGCATGGTTCTTAGACTAACCAGAGTGGAGGATTGAGCTTCCCATCCTGCATCCCAACTCCCCTCTGCTGTTGTGGGGATAAGAGTGCGTAAATACATGTTGGCAAAGATGTGAGATGACTATAAAGTAGACTAGTATTTAGGAACTGTTTCAGTAACCATAGGTCATGTGGAATTCAGTGCAGGCCAGTGAGAGCTGGAAGAGGAATGGATATACAGTGGTGCCTCGCATTATGACGTTAATTCGTTCCAGCGAAATTGCTGTAGAATAAAAACGTAATGCTAAATTAAACGCATTAAAATCCAATTAAAGCGTTCCTAGGGGCTTGAAACTCACCATCCAGCAAAGATCCTCCATAGGGAGGCCATTTTTGCTGCCTGTGCAGTGAGGAATCCATCCCAGAAAATAACGGGGAGCCATGTTTTTTACCCGGCAGCCATTTTGAAACCGCCGATCAGCCGGCCGAAAATCATCGCTTTGTGAGAATCGGTTCCCGAAGCAGGGAACCGATCATCGCAAAGCGAAATTCCCCCATAGGAAACATCATTTTGAGATTGGTTTTGCGACCGCAAAACCTTCAATGTAAAGTGATTTCCTCGTAAAACAGAGCGCTCGTAATGCGAGGCACCACTGTAATCCAGTTGTCTCCATGATAGCTTCCTTCACAGCCAACACAGAAATGTAGCAGACTGGTGGAGGAATGTTTTGTGTGTGTGTGGCTACAGCCCATGGTGCTCTTTAGTAATCTTGCAACACGTTTTTGGAAATTTTCAAGACAGTTGTAATATCAAATGAGATTGTGGTTCACTTTGATTTTACTCAGACTTCGATAAAGTAGTTACTTCATTTCAATTTAAAGGTCTAATTTAATTGTAAATATTTTCATTACAATATTCTTGTACGTAGTTATATTTCATGATATCTTTTTGGTAGTGCTAATCAAAGGAACACTAAATGCCCTTTTCTTCTTGTAGGTTTCTATAAACTTTGGTCCCTATTTCAAATACCCGCCAAGAGATATTACGTACCGTCCGGTGAGTGGGATGTCAGAATACCTTTCATGTGTCTCTTGGGAAATGTAAATTGAGGTTTTTGGATGTTGTGCTGTGGGTCTAGAATTCTAAGTGTAAAAGAACATCTCTGATTCATTGGCTGGAAAACCTAGTCTCCGTAGTGAGTGTGAAATGTACAGATCCCATTCACTTGCAGAATTATAGGGGTTGGAAGTGGATTCTGTGGTAGAAGAAAGACTATCTCCACTATGACAGTTTCAGACCATGCCTTGTTCCCAAAGCATTCTTCGTGAGAGAAACGTATTTTCCTTCTTTGAATTGGAAGCTTGGTTTATTGGATTTGCAGCAATTCCAAGATTCTTTATCCATCCGCTTGTTTAGCTGTGCACAGGTCCTGTTTCTGTGTCCATAGATCCATGTGTATTGACAGTCCTGCCAGCAGCTATACCTGAATCCTGTTGTTGAAGGTACTTTTGAGCCGGCACAGGATTTCTGTTCTTCATTGCTGTTAACGTTCTGCACTTCAGAATTTCCAAAAGGACGCAGAAACAGAACTCTGCATAAAACTTCTAGAAGGAGGACTACATTTTGTTCGTCTCCTAAGTACTGGCAAAACAAAACAGAAAGCACCCCTCTTCAAAGTTCAACCGAGGAGGCTAATCTCTCTCTGTTGCTTGTCTTTCCTTCCACAGATCAGTGACATGGGCTGGGTTGCAGTGGTAGAGCACACTCTGGCAGATGTCCTTTACCATGTAGAAACAGAAGTTGATGGGAGGCGCAGCCCACCTTGGGAACCTTGAAGGACATTGTCTATATATGTGTATATATATTATTTTTAATACTATGTAATGGTGTCACTGGATGTAAAGCAGAAAAGGAATAAACCTCCTTCTTTTTTTAAATTAATATATTATGTGCAGCTTTTTATTCATTTCAGAATTGCTACACACACACGCACACGCACACACACACACGCGCACACACAGAGGGTAGTCTGATGTAGTTGGAGAGGCAGAGCAGTAAAGCAAGCTATTCTTCAGTCCAGTTTCCACACTGTTTATGCATCTTAAGCTCTGTTTGTGTGCAGGTGGGTCTTACAGAGGTATAGGAAGATTATGTAGTTGATCATATAGCTTTATTTAGTGGGTAGACAGACGGACCTCCCCTTTAGTGGAAGCGTTGCTCTGGGTGGTTTACAAGCTAAAACTTAGAACCCCATATAACAATATAATCAAGATGGTGATTTAGTGATACAGAGCTAAAATTCATACACAAAGGAAAAGAAAGAATGAGAAAAGGGGGGTTGGAATAATATAAACAGCATCCAGGGGATAAGTTGTTGGAGGAAGCTTTGTGTAACACTGTTTACATTCATTTTTTGAATAGAATCTGGTGCAAAGACAGGCAACTGTGGGGAGTTTTGGGCATCACCCTCCACAGCCCCTGGGCTGCACCCTCCCATTTTTCAAAAGCAGAATTGACCGTAGAGTCACTTCTTGCTTTGTTTTAAAGCTGTGGTGGGGGCCCCTTTTTTTCACATGGGAAGTTTGGAGGCCCCTAGGGCTACATGTTCCCCTCCCCATCTCGTGTTCCTGGAGTTTTCCCTCTTGCAACATGGAACATCCCTAGTTTGTAGTAACTTTGGCTTGCATCACTGTGGCAGAGTGTCAGTTCTAAGCTTCAAATCTTGAAGATAAAGACAAAGAAAGGGAGGCTCGTGCAACATTTTAAATCACATTTTCTTTTATTTTTAAAAGTACAGATTCACACAGCAGTTCCTTCTTAAATCTAGAGCCTTGTTTCCAGCTCCTCTAACTTGCAGATACACCTTTTACTTGTTCAAACTATACAAAATACAGATGTTCGTAGACACACACTTTGAAATAAAGCAGTGTGTCTTGCCATTGTATGATCTGCTAGTTTTTGAAACAAAGTTAATCATGTATGCAAGAGGAAACAAACATTTCATATTTTTGAATTACCTGACTAGAATAAATATTAAATAAATGCCTTGTTCATCCACAAACAGGGGGGAAAATAAATACCTACAAACTGGACTTGTATAGATAATGACTGATAATGACAAGTATCCGAGGATTCAGCAAGTTGAAATGCTAAAATTGCAGCAAATCCGAAGTACTAAATGCAGTGTTAGTCCCAACACAAGTTAGATCTGTTGAAATGAATTGGACTCATTACGTATAATGTACGTTCCACTGATTTCCTTAGATCTATTTGGGACTTATACTGTATTTAGTCCTATGTATGAAAGAAGTTGGATAGCCTATGAGCTCTAGAACTTGGTTAAGACGTTAGAATTAGGGATAAGGACACAGATTCTCAGTTGCATATAAAATGTACGTTCCACTGATTTCCTTAGATCTGTTTGGGACTAATACTGGATTTAGTCCTATGTATGAAAAAAGTTGGATAACCTGTGAGCTCTAGAACTTGGTTAAGACGTTTAGAATTAGGGATCAGGACACAGATTCTCAGTTACATATACTTGAATTGTTTCAACCATGGTTATTCTCAGCTTTTCGAGCGGACTAGAAGTGACATTAAAGGCATTTGCACTGAAATGTACTTGGAATGTGAACAGCATCCACTCGGAGCAGACTGAACTCATACTGCATATATGAATCAGAAACCATGACTTCAGCAGTGTGTAGAATGGATGAGATGTGGCAGAGATCCGTGACAGAAAAACTGAGACGTTGTAGGTCCATGAGACGGACCATATTTTATGGTGTCAAATTTGGCAGGATGTATGACTCGGGGGTTTCTTTGTGGCCTTCTAAGTTCAAGTTACATGGGGTGATCCGTTCTTTCATCAGGTAGCTGTATAATTAAAACTTGACTGCCTATCAGTTGGTTTCCTGAACATGCAAATAACCATAGGCCTCTTTCCTTCAGACCAGTGGCATGGCGCTTTGGCCTTCCAGATGTTGATGAACTGCCATCATGCCTTGCCGTGGACCAGACTGGCTGGTTGGTCTGATGGGAATTAAGAGGTCAACAGCATTTTGAAAGCTACGGGTTCCCCAGCCCCACTGTGTTGAAATGACACACAGGGTTTGCAGGATAGAAATAGCTGCGAGCAGGATCAACAGCCCTGGGTATCAGCTGAGTCCCATGGAAGGTGGGAGGCTCACTGCCCCTCCTTGCATTCCCCCTTGCCCCTGCTGCTGCTCCTTCTTGCTGAAGGACTTCCTGAACTGAACAAGCAGAGAAAGGAACAAAGATAGGGAACAATAAGCACACACCACAGTTTGTCCCTCTGGGAACTGAAGTGGGGTTAGGCACACAAGGAAATGAGCAGCAGAAATCACGGCACAGAGAATGAGTGGACACTCATATTTTCTAACAAGGTGTTTCTAAATATAGTGGGTTGGCCACTGACTTTGTTGTATCACGCATGGAAGCTTTCAGATAAACCATCCCTTTGGGCATAGCATTTGCTTCATAAGGGTTTCGTTTGGAACACACCCAGAGCTGGATAGTGAAGCTCTCCAGAAAAACTACAACTTTGATCTAGAAGTGCCAGAGTTCTTTCAATGGTTATGCCCCTTCCACCAAGAGGTGAGATTACGTGTTACTTGGAGACGCAAGTGAACAGAATACCATTTGAATTAGATTGCAGAGACTTGGATTTACACTGAACCTGCAAACCCTGTGTGTCGCTTCAGTGGTGGAAGGTAACTTGACAGTGGCCTTTGAGAGGAGCAGATTAGCGTCTGGGACTGCAAGGAGGTTATTTGGCCCAGGCTCCTCTGTCCGTGGGCATCTGCAGCCTGAGGGAGCCACCTCACTTTGCTTAATGGGGTGGCCAGTTCCAAATCTTCATGTATAGGTTTTATCCACGTACCTAGAAGGAAGCCTCTTAAACAGAAGGGTGCAGCACCTACTCACAAGAGGAGAGCCTACAGGCCTAATTTGCCCAGGAGTGATCCAACAAATGCCACCTGCTGATGCCCTGCCCGCAGCATCTTCTCATACCATAGAATATGGTCAGAAAACCCAGAAGCATTAAGCCCAATATTTCTCTTGTGTTATCTAGAAGGCTAAAAGAAACCATGTCTTAGCAGGCACACAAAGGAGGAGACACGCAACCTGCCCCCCAAGCCTAAGAGACTAGTCTCCTTGCTACCCATTTTCTAGAGCAGTAGGTCTCAACTCTCTGAGAAAAGAGCCTTGTGTGAGTTGTCCGTGAGCAGGGGGGAAAGCAGTGGAGGAAAAGCAGTGGAGGAAAAGCAGTGGAGAGGGGATGCCTGACTTCAACATCTCAGAGCCTGTGCAGAAAGAGAAGGGTTGGCCAAACGGTGGCGGAGGTGGTTTGCAAAATCCACCTGGGTTTGGGAGAGGACTTGGTTGATGAGCGTCTTTGGCAACCATCCCTGAAAGAAAGAAAAAAAGGACAACAGGTAAGTTAAATGTGTTAAAAGTTAAGTCTGGATTTTAACAGAAGTTCTTAACCATCCCAAGCTTCTGTAAAGAGGGTTGGGATAGAAATGGAAATCATCATTATCTCCCTCCAACTGTTCTGGATGTTTGCCTGTATCGCTTCATGGTCTGACTTACAGAATTCTATACATTCCATAAACTAAGCATGGATACCCTAATCTGCTCTCAATCTGCTGCTAATCAGCTTCATTGAGCACTGGGTTGAAAACAACAGAATTAAATTTAACAGGGATACATGCAAAGTTCTACGCCTAGAGAAAAATTAACCTAATACACAGTTACAAGATGGTTGTGTTGGTTCAGCACTACATGCAGGAAGGATCTTTGAAATGTTGTGGACTACAAGCTGAATATGAGCCCACAGTGTGATGTGACTGCAAAAAAGGCAAATGCTGTTTTAGGTTGCATTAACAAAAGGATAGTCTCCAAAATCTATGAAACACTAGTTCCCCTCTATTTGGCATTGCTCAGGCTTCATCTTGAGTACTGAGTCCAGTTCTGGACACTACACTTGAAGAAGGAGGCCAAGAAATGAACAAATTCAGAAGCGGGCAACAAGGATATTTGGGACTGGCAATCAAGCCCTCAGAAGAAAAAGAACGGGACATATTTAACCTTGAGAAAAGAAGACTGAAGAGAAATATGATAGCACTTTTCGATTACTTGAAAGGTAGTCATACAGAGGAGGGGCAGGATCTGTTTTTGATCATTCCAGAATGCAGGACACGTAATAATGGGCTGAAATTATAGTAAGCCAGATTTTGGTTGAATATCGGGAAAAACTTCCTAACTGCTACAGCAGTATAACAGTGGAATCAATTAGATCAGGAGGTGGTGAGTGCTTCAATGCTGAAGGCGTTCAAGAGAAAATTAAGTAACCATTTGCCAGCTATCCTTTGATTTGAATTCCTGCTTTGAGCAGGAGATTGGATTCAATGGCCCTTCCAACTCCATGATTCTATGATTGTGTGAACCAAGAGTTCTTTTGGTATGGAAAAGGAATGGGAAACCAGTATTATCAATTTCTCCACCCATTCATCCTCCTTAAATGAATAGGTTTTCATTTGGCTGTTTATGTACTTTATGATTCTATATAGGCTCAAGTTCTGTCACTAGGTGTAACATGGAAGCATTCCTGAACAATCTCACATTTAAATGCATAAGGACTAGAAACTTTCTTTCTAAAAAAGAGTGGGGACTTGATAGCATGACATTCAATATAATTTCAAATGGTTAATGAAAATATGCATAGAACTTTGCTTTTCCTTGTTAAAATGTCAAAATGGAATAAATGTACAAATAAATACATCCTCGGGTTTTTTTTTAGTTCAGAGATCACAGACGCTACAGCTCCATTATTGGCACATGACATAACACAATTAATTAACCAGTTCACCCTGAGTTTCAAAAGTACCTTCAAGTCAATGCTGAGAAGCCAGGTCAACTTGGTCTGGGAGGGATCTCCAGCGACAGGTCGAAGAACCATACACGTGGGGCCATTTTCAGCTCTGCAGAAAGATAGGAGAACACGTTGGCTTATTAACACACTACAGGCTAGCAGGCACATTCTCTTTCATAATAATCATATCCCCATTAGATGTTAAGGAAAACTAGTGCCTTTAGGCAGAGGAGGTTTACCAGTTTTTTCAGAATTGGTTTTGTGTTCCTTTCATGTTCCCTCTTTCATGTAACCTTTTGATCCTCCTTTGTCAAATTGTCTGAGAAATTTTACTTCAATAGCATGGTGAGGTTTTTCAGCTGCCAGTCAAAGCATCCGGGGAGGCAGGAGTTTTGAATCTATAAAATGGCCTGGGACCCTGTGAGGAGCGTTTTTTGGTTCAGCTATTCCTCGTGGTTGGATTACCGTGTGCTGAGTTCCTGATGCCCTCCGTCTTGGTTTCATTGTTGGCTGCCTGGTTGCCGTGCCTCTATCTTTCCTCTCTCTTTTTTGCCTCCCCCCCCCTTGATAGGGTGTGTGTGTGTGTTCCCATGTGTTTGTCTTATTTTTGCTACGGCTCAGCCTGGCTGCTTGCTAGAGAAGAGAAGCCATCAAGTATTGTTGGTGGGAGAGAGATGTCATATTCAAGCAGCTTTCATTGTGAGGGCAGGTTTCATTGTATTTCTTGACTTTATTCTCCGGTTTTTAAAAATGGTTTCCCCCACTATTGCCTGTTCCCAAATCTTTTCTAATGCTTACTGAAGATTAAGAGGGACCCAAATTAAAAGAGTTTCAGCAGATGTAACCTGTCATGCAAGCTACATCTCCTGAAATTCATACTTTCTCTCAAGGTACAGGAGCTGGATTTTCTTCTGCATGTGGGCCACCCTACTGATTATGCTGATGCTTTGTCCTCTGATTATGGGGCCATAAACAGCAACATGCTAGGTCTGTGAATGCCAATTTCCACTGCGCCAATGATAAGCAATAAGCAAAATTAGCTGTTGATGAACTCCCCAATCCTACCACCAGCTAGGCTGGTTTGGGCTAATGGGAACTGAAGCCCAGCAATATGTGGCAGGGTTGAATTAAGCCAAACCTGAAAGAAAAATGGCTCTCTTTTTTAAAGGATAATTTACCTGACAACGCCTTTTTGTTCAGGCATGGCTGCATAGGTGGTGGACATGCCGGCTAGAACGCACGTTGAGCCTCGCCTCTTGGAACAGCGGACGCTCACAAAGTCTCGTGGGCCAACAATGTTGCCAGCGGTCGCTGCTGCAGTTTCATGAGTGATCACGGTATCTTTACCAATTTTCTCCAGGATCTATGGAAAGTTCAACAGAAGTTAGTTCCTAGATAGCAACGTTTTGTACATTTCCATAAGGACAAGCTATGCTTTGGGCAAGCGATTCATCACTTATGGATGCATGAAGTATACATCCTATCCCTCTCTGGTATTTCAAGTGTTTGGAAAAGTTATTTTTGTTACCGATTTACAGAAGAGCAACTGTGTTAGTCTGTTGTAGACCAGGCAAGCTAATTTGGCAGTTCATTTCTTAAAATGCATGGAGTATAACTCATTGCCCTTCACCCCACCCGACACAGGAAAGTATATCTAGCCAAGTAAAGTTGCACCCCATGCATTTGAAGAACTAGATTACAATCTGTGAAAGCTAAATAAAACTCGATAGTCTGGCAGAGCCAGAGGCTGGGGTTTCAATTTCCCAGTGAGCCTCCTTGATGATCCATAGGGTCCATTCCAGCTCTATAATTCTAAAATGATGACGCCGACAATGATGTAAGACTCTTTGATCCAGCTCTACAATTCTAAAATGATGATGACGACAATGATGTAAGACTCTTTGGACAGTATCCTGTCCAATTTACAGTGTGCACAACTGGAAATGTGGAAGCATTTACCTTGATTTCTTTGACATTTGGGTTCCACTCTCCCATCTGTTCCATCCTTTCCACTAACTCGCTGTAGACGTTGTCCAGGGACTGATCGACCACTACCTCGAGACGAAACACCTTTCCTATGTCCGGGAGGACTTTGCTTAAAACTTTGTCACCATTGTCCTGTCAAGGAAAAAAAAGAGATTCAGAATGCAACTCTGCATCACCCAGTAGACAAGACTTTAGGTGGTCACGAGGCAGTGTGTTCCGTTTGAGAGAACAAAACAAACAAAAACTATTGGACGTATGGTATACGGCACAAAAACGGCAGTTTGACACCTCTTTTAAGCACGACTTTATTCTATGGAACTCTGAGACCGGCAGCCTGGGACTCTCAAGAGCCTCCTTCAGCACCACGTATACGGCACAAAAATGGCAGTTTGACACCTCTTTTAAGCATGACTTTATTCTATGGAACCCTGAGACCAGCAGCCTGATGAAGGACTTAGGATTCTCTGGAGGGATCTAGTGCTGTAGTTCAGGGGATGGCATCCGAGTTCTCTAGAGTCCTCTAGCAGAGAACATGAAGGACCTTGCCAAACTATAAATCCCAGTATCCTTAAACATCTATTAAAGCAGTATCAGCCGGGGACTGTGCAGCTTGCCCAAGGTGGAATGCAGAGAACATGAAGTACCTTGCCAAACTATAATTCCCAGTATCCTTAAACATCTATTAAAGCAGTATCAGCCTGGGACTGTGCAGCTTACCCAAAGTCTACACAGGCTGGCTCTTCTGGAATGCACAGTGGAGAATCAAACTCCAAACCTCTAGCTCTGCAGCCAAATACCCAACTTACTGAGCCATCACGAACAGCCAGAGAGAATATCACTTTCATTCATATGGCTTTAATAGATAGTACTTTTCCATGGAGCTTGGAAAAGTTATTTTTTAACCTACAACCTTGCAAACTTCTAAGCCAGCAATGGACACTTTCCCAGACGATGTTTTTTCAGGACATGGACATTTGTCTGGTTCTGCAGCAGAATACGTATTTTGGGGGTTGCCCCTTGTTTTGTGTAGGCAGAGTTTGAGTCCAGGAGGCTTAATTGCTCCCATTTTTAAATGGCTATTATAATCTCTGCTGAGAAGCCAGTTTGACCAGTCTCTGCCTTTCCCCTGTCATCTAAAAGCCATCTCATCAGGATGCGACAGAGGAGCTGGAAGCAAAGGCCGGTGGGGGCTGGCGTGCCTGCCATTGATTCGTCTTGGACACCAGCTGTTGTTTAACTCTTTGAACTGTTTCCATTTCAGCCGGTTGTGAAAAGAAGACCAACTTCCACTTGCATTACAGCTGTGTAACATCTGTATGTTATATAATTGATGAAGTGGACCTCATTATTTGGAAACGGGTATTGCCTCATTTGGGGTGGGGGAGAGAAGGACAGACAGACAGAGGGACAGACTCACTCACTTCATTCTCAGACCATACAGAAGAGACACTGCTGATTTCTTGACAAGGGCTACTACCCATGGAAAATCTTGCAAAACAACACGATCTGAGCTCTTCACACCAACATCCCCCATGAAAAAATAGACTACAAGTCAGGAGGAGCAAATATTTCCTCTGCTCTGTCTTTACAATCTCCCATCTCCACCTATGCCAGCATTTGTATATACAAAACTGGCAACTGGAGGCAGCTGTTCATGCATCTAATGAAATGCCAGCTCCCAGGAAGCCTGGCCAGCTCGGCAGTCCAAGAACATCTGGGTGACCCAAGCTTGGGAACCACACTGCTTATCTCTTAGATATACAAGTAAGGCCTAATTCACATATTCAAAAGAAAGTTTGATTTGCTGATATGAGAACACGGATCTGAGCTCTTCACACCAACATCCCCCATGAAAAAATGGACTACAAGTCAGGAGGAGCAAATATTTCCTCTGCTCTGTCTTTATAATCTCCCCTCTCCACCTATGCCAGCATTTGTATACACAAAACTGGCAACCGGAGGCAGCTGTTCATGCATCTAGTGAAATGTCAGCTCCCGGGAAGCCTGGCCAGCTCTGCAGTCCAAGAACATCTGGGTGACCCAAGCTTGGGAACCACACTGGTTATCTCTTAGATATACAAGTAAGGCCTAATTCACATATTAAAAAGAAAGTTTGATTTGCTGATATGAGAACACGGCTGTGTTGAGCCTTGGGCTCGCGCTCGCACTCGCACACAAGCACACTTTTCTTCTTTTCCTCTTCTCCTCTTCCATGGCACAGGAGGAGCCTGAAAGCCTCCACTTTGGAAAAACAAAACAAAACAGAACAAAAACTGCTGGATAGCTCAGTGGAGCCAGAGGTTGGGAGTTCGATTTCTCACTGTGCTCCTTGACAGCTGCTGGACGCGATGATCCAGAGGGTCCCTCCCAGCTCCGCAGTTCTAAAATGGTGACGATAGTGCAGGAGCTAACATCAGCCACGGTTCTTAGTGATACCCCAAGCCAGATGACTATGTTTTGTTCAACGTCTGTTTCATGAGACCAAGTTAGACCAGGCACATCCTATCCTTGCTAGTTTTCAAACCCAAATTTCAGCAAGTCAGCAGTTCCTGGACGTCACAAAGAGGAGGAACAAAAACTGCTGGATAGCTCAGTGGAGCCAGAGGTTGGGAGTTCGGTTTCTCACTGTGCTCCTTGGCAGCTGCTGGACACAATGATCCGGAGGGTCCCTTCCTGCTCCACAGTTCTAAAATGGTGACGATAGTGCAGGAGCTAACATCAGCCACGGTTCTTAGTGATACCCCAAGCCAGATGACTATGTTTTGTTCAACGTCTGTTTCATGAGACCAAGTTAGACCAGGCACATCCTATCCTTGCTAGTTTTCAAACCCAAATTTCAGCAAGTCAGCAGTTCCTTGAGCCTGGACGTCACAAAGAGGAACAACAACAAACGCAGAAGTACTGCAGTGCCTTGATGGCTAACAGAATTGTTTCCATGCTGATGAAACCAGAGTTAGTTTAAATCCAGAAGCAGGCACTTCTGACCATATCCTCATAGTGTAAAAAAGAGGAAACAGGGTTGTGCAAGTCCACAGCAGCCTGAACTTCTGGGAGTGGATGTCCACAGTGTTTGGAGGGACAAAGGCTGAGTATCATTGTTCTCTCAGAAAACGGTTATCTTCCATTTTATCTGAAATGGGCCTCAGTCTCTTGTGCTTTCTCCCCCTCATTTGGTCGTTGTGCCTTTTTAGAACTATTGTGGTCCAACTAGGCATTTTTAGTCCCCAGAATGTCTTGCCTGGAGGTTGGACTGACACCTGCCTCAAACGCTGGAGAACTGGTGGCTGGAGTGGACAGTGCTCAGCGGTCAAGGGAAGCGCAAGACGCTTCCCTTCATTTCTGTCTCTTTGCAACTGGGAGAGAAAGATACTTCAGGTAACAAAACTCTGTGGGTAACACTGCAAACCTACCATCACTGTTTCGGTCTTCCAGCCCTCTTGGTCACTGAGGATATTCAGCGATTTCTGCAGGGCCTCCTCTCCTTGTCTAATGTAGGCCATCTCCATTTCGCTGAAGAGGTTCTCCTCCAGCCTAGAACCTGAAACGATGGGAGGGGAAAGCGACTATTGGAAGGGCAGGCTAGACAGAAAAGTCAGTGGTTGCGACAATGACCAGAGAGGTCAGAACTTCTATAGCCCAAAAAAAGAAGAGGAGGAAAGCTACCCAGGAGAAATCATGTCCTGTTATGATACTCACTCAGCAACGAGCTCCTCCTGCGGACTTGGTGGATCCATTTTCCAGGGCCAGGCCTGACAAATTTATTCAGCTCCTGAACAATTGTGACAGCAGCTTTTCTCTTCAAGCCTAACAGGGAAAAAGCACAAAGCTCACATGAAAAAGGAACCACGACAAAGCAAAGCAAAGCAAAGCTTGATGCTTAATATAGCACTCTCTGAGCAGTTTGCAAATTAATTATACAGGCAACAAATTGCCCCCACAGTGAGCTGGGTACTCAATTTACCAGCTGTGGAAGGATGGGAGGCTGAGCGAACCTTGAGTCAGCTACTTAAGCCCATCGGGACTGAATGCAGGTCATGGGAAGAGTCTGGGCTGCAGTACTGCAGTCTAACCACTGCACCACGAGGCTGTCCCTGAACCCACAAATCTGTCCCTGAAGCCACGAGAGAAGGGAATACAGTACATGTCTGTGGTGAAGAGAAGAGACTTCGGCAGCATATTGGGAAAATTCCTGCTTTAGCATACACCGCGTATGGTGTCTCTATCTGCACTGACACCTTGCCTCAGGAGGCCTGTTTATGGAATCAGCCCAGCCATGAAGAAGAGACCGTTACCTCAGGTAGCAGAGGTTGCATTTGCTGTACAGAGAGTGAACCCAGTATGGTTTGTCTTGTACAGAGATTTGGATGCTACAGAGTAATCCATCCCACTTACGGTTCTGAAGCCCCAAAGCTTGTTAAGTTCCAACTACTACTACCCCAAAGACTACAAAACAGAACTTCCTTTGCCATTTAGGAGTGATAGAATGATAACATACAACTTGAAAAGTTCCTGTAAAAATCCTTAAAATGCTTTCTAAAAGTAACTTTTGAAATGAAATATAAAACATTACTTGTTATATGGAAAAGTAACTTTTCAACTGCTTGTTACAGTTGAAATGTAATTTAGTTACAGCCCTGTTACCCAAAAGCAAATAATTACTTCAAAAGCCTGCCCTAGTTTTCTTCTGTACTTGGAATTTTGTGCAGACAGTCTTTTTCTCATACAACAAAATAACCTGGAACTGACAAATGCCTGAACAAGTACAGTTTGTGGAACTGTACAGACAGTGTACCAGTGCTTGGAAATAATAACTAATTACAAACAAGCATTTGCATTTCACTTCTTTTTCCAATCATGGAAATGAAATCATATTACAGCTGCAACCTAATGAGAACTAACACCATTCCTATTGTGATGCAGCCAGAATTTTTAAATCAACATTTTTTATAAATATAATGGCATCACTAAATGAGGAATATTGTACAGTCAAGTCATTGTCCCTCGTTCCTGGGGTAGGCATGGGATTTAAAATTAATTAATTTCCTGCTCCAGAGGCAGATGTGGGCCAGGCTCAAACCTCTGCACAAAAGCCGTCTTCATCTTTTCTTATGTGAGATTGCACTGCGATTCTTGCTGCCCAGTACTTGACGGATAGTCCTCCATGCCTTGTGCTTTAGTAAATCATCAACACAAAGAGGTTTTACCCTTGTCTGGTGGCCGTGATCAAGAGCAGGATCTAGAAATCAGGAAGTCTCTGTTTCCAATCTCCTCCCTGCCACTTTGCTTTTCAGGGATGGAAGGCAAACTTGCAGGTCTAGCAACACTCACCAAACCAGAGGCTGGGAACTTTAATTTTTTTGGATTACAACTTCCAGAAATCTCCAGACTTGGAGATCTTGGAAGTTGTTGTTAAAAAATTAAAATCAAATAAAACTTTCCCAAGCAACGTTCCTTTGCTTGCTACAGATTGCAGTTTTAGCCTGATTGTTCTGATTCACTTTAAAAATCAAATTTAGAAGGCTTTCAATGCTCATCTCTCCAAGCTTTGGCATGGAGAGAAGAGCATTGCTTCTGCAGTAAAATGAGGTGCCAGCGCAAAAGTTTGCTGCACAATTTCAGGGTGAAATACTCCCTGTGGGTGAGCCAAGGACCACCCCTGGCCATTCCTGGTTCCAACCCAATTTTCTGGATTTCAACCATTAAAATGGAGGGGGGGGCTCATTTTGCTGTTGCCATTGGTTTTCTATTGTTTGTTTGATCAAACTGTTAGTTGCAAAGAACTCATTGGTATACACTGGCGACATGTTCCTCTCCCCCAAAATCTCATTAAAGTTAGCATCTGGAGGATCTAATAAGTCCATGTGAAGGTAAGCATGTCAAGATCCTCCAGCTATTCAATGATCAATCACTTCTTGTCGTTGTCCTTGTTAAACAATGGGAAGCTAGAAACCTTTGCCAGTCTACTTCAAATAAGGCAGAGTTCACTTAGATTCCCACCCAGTTCTGCCCACTACACACACACACACACTCACACACACACACACACACAGAGAGAGAGAGAGAGAGAGAGAGAGAGAGAGAGAGAGAGAGAGTCTGGCAATGTATTCAATAGTGGATCAGAACATCAGTCTATGTGTGGGAAGACCAAGGTTCAAATCCGCACTTCACTGGGAGGGGGATGAAAATAAGCCAGTCCCTATTTCTCAATCTGGTTTACCTGATAGGATCATGGAGAGAAACTGCTTGGGCAGGAGGAGAAGAACCACATAGTTTTGTTCTATTCTTTTTTTGGAAGAATTAGAGTTAAAGAAGTAATCAGCCAGTATAACTCTGCCAGCCGTATAAATTCCTCCTTATCACAGCCTGCGGTTGATCTCTCCTTACTGTTTTTCAAATCCCAGAGTTTGGAGGAAGTCCTGATTTTGGCCTCTGAGAGAGTTTTTAGTTCAAAAGAAGAGGAAACTCTGTTTCCAAGCTTTGCAAGCTCGGTAAAAGACCGGTTGCTGTCTGGCTTGCCCTTACCTGTCATATTGTGTAGGTGTCTGTAGGAGATGCCGGCACAGAGTTTGAAAGTGGCTGGCAGCATCGCGAGGGTCCTTGAGGGCTGTGAAGACTCTCTTCCTTCCTTTCGTCCTTCCTCTTGTACCTCAGAGACTCTTGGTTGCTGTTTGGCAGGAGCCTTCAGCGTCCCCTGGCTTTAAATACACCCGATGAAGGATGCTGGTTTGTCAGCAGAGTGATAAGAAAAGACATCATTTACAGCAGGCTGGCTGACACCAAGGCCAAACCCATCACCTCATGAGCTGGGGAGGGGGAGGCGGGTGGCAGAGTGTGGCTGTTGCAAAGGGAAGTTGCATCAGAGGGCAGGCTTGGCAGTTCTCGTAGAGACCATGACCACCCGGAGGTTGGCCAACTGTGTCCAGCTAGGGTCTCTGCGCTTTTCAACAGCTCCGCGACAAAGTTAGGAAATATTTTCTGAACTAACGCCCAGACACCCCCCCGAAACAGCATCCACTCAGGGATTCTGGTAGTCCAAAGAATTTTTCTTAGCCTTTGTCTGGACTAAAACTCCCAAAATCCCCCCTGCCATGCTGGCTGGCAGGTTCTGGGGTCTGTTGATTCAAAGGGGAAAGAGAGGGGGAAGATTTTCCCCAGTGTTTTCTCTTTGATAAAGTAGCTTACTCTTGCTCTTCAGTTCAATATTTGCTGCTTTCTTGGGCATGAAAACTTGCAGGGTGTGCAAAGGTGGGAATGGGTGGGGAAAACTGACCATAGGCTCCGGAATCAACACAGCAAATTGAATGCCTTTTTTCAAGAGGCATTTCAGGTGCAGAAGGAGTTACCTTTGAGGAGGACTGAGCTTGGAAGTAAGTGATATAAAAAGAACCAGTTAATTAAATTATGTCATTGCATTTGGCTTATTATTATAGGCTTGATAAGTGGCGTTGCAGCCAAAACGTCCTGTTCACCTAGAACATAGAATCACAGAGTTGGAAGGGGCCTATAAGGCCATCGAGTCCAACCCCCCTGCTCAAGGCAGGAATACACATCAAAGGATTTGTGCCAGGGGGTTGTTTAAGTTTCTCTTGAATGCCTCCAACGTTGGAGAACTCACCGCCTCTCCAAGTAATTGGTTCTGTTGTTGTACTGTTCTAACAGCTGGGAAGTTTTCCTTGATAAAACAAGCACCATAGGATTCCTTGTTTCTGCAGCATCAAACCAATAGGCAACGTTTCACCACCACAAAAAAAAAATTACCTGCAATTATAGCACCTTTCTCCAATAAGGAATGAAAGATGGTAAGATCTGCAGAGGAGGCCCCCTCTCTCAGTCCTCTCAACTTCAAAAGGATGCACCAGAGGAGTTTTTCACTCGCTGTTCTAAAACTATGGACTTCCCCACCTCCCTCATGCCCTTCTGTTGGCACACAAAAACCTTTGTGTTAAGAGACAACTTTGCCAGTTTAATGATTGCTTAGGACAGAAGCTTTTAAGGAGATACAGTGGGGTCTTGACTTGACAACGTAATCCGTATTGGAAGGCGGTTCTCAAGTCAAAAAGTCTGTAGGTCAAGTCTCCATTGACCTACAGTGCATTGAAAACCGATTAATCCCGTAACAGGCCGTTTTTGTTCCCTTTTGGTTTTTTTCTGGTCTGTAAGTCAAATCTCAGTCTGCAAGTCAAACCTAAAAGTTGCAGCCAGAGACGTCTGTAACTCAAAAAGTCTGTAAGTCAAGCCGTCTGTAAGTCAAGGGTCCACTGTACTCCACTTGCCTACTGATAATTTGCAGTTATTTTTAGTGAGTGTTTTGAATGGTATTCTAATTGTTTCAATAGCTACAACGTATTGTTTTAAAACTGTACATTTTAAAACAAATTCCACTATAAGCTGCTTTAGGTCCCAGTGTCTGAGGAAAAGGTGAGATATGAAACAAAAATATATATGTTACTGCATTGGCTTCATGGGAAAAAAATATAAAACAGAGATTAGAAAAAAAATCTTTTATTGAAACTATAGAGAGGGTGTTATTTTTTAAAAACAAGGAAATAAAACCATCTGATTCAAATGGGTTGTTTTTTGTGTTTTTTTTCCCCCTCTGTGTTGCAGAGCTTGAAACTGGTTCGACTACAATTCCCATAACTCCTGTCAAGGCATAAGTGATGATGGCTGGATGCCGGACGCTGTTGTTCAAACCAGTAAAGATTCCAAGCTCTGCTGTATTGTGGGCGCTGAGGTGCGAAGGGTGTGCTTTATTACTGTTGCACCATAAATTAATATTTCACAGCACAGAGATATAGTGAGATACATTTGCAAGTAGCTTAACACTCACATTTTGAGAAACAGAAAAAGTATGATATTCTTGATGAATAGCCCTTTGCCCGAACAAAGGGTTGGGGGTAGAAATACAAGGATGCAACACATGGAAATCTTAAAACTGGGCCAGCTGTTGCAGCCATGAGGAACAAAGTTCCATTCTCTCCCCAAATGTAAATGATAGCTCCCTTGTAGTTAATGCAGCTATAGGGTTACATCAAGCCACGCGTGCTGGGGCGGAGACAGAGAACAGCGAAGAACTCCTTTTATGAGGCTTTTGGGAGCCCCAAGTGCTTCTAATTGTGCTTCAAAAGTAAATTTGTAAACTCTGCACAGAATGGAAAAGGCACTAGGGACCAGCATCCCTCATTCCCCCCCCCCACCGGCATTATTGACCAAGATGCACCCATGGATATGCTTAGCCAGCATAGTGTTGGGATGAAGGTGTTAAGAGTTATAGCTACTTGGGAGAGCCAGGTTCGGTTTCTGCTGAGCCACTGCATTCACTGGTTCATCTTCAACCAGTTGCTTTCTGTCGTCTGATCTCCTTCTCAGATTTGGCAGTAAGGATAAAGGCAAGAAGCACTAGGCTTACCACCTGAGATCAGTGAAAGAAAGACAGGGTATAGATGTGAGTCATGAATACGGATGCAGAAGAACACTCAACCGAAGCTCACTTCTGCTCTTATTTTCTCTTGATAGAATAAATAAATATAGATGAAAAGACAGAGCGAGAGCTTTTCAGTGATATTATTTGCAAAGTGCTTTAAAAGATCAAAATGAATGTACAATGTGATCCTGACTGTTCCACTGTTAGAACTGCCCTGCCTATGAATAAGATATTTGTTTTGTTTTTTGGAGGGAAATCCTCCCGTTTGATGAATACAAGCTGAAGTGATTCACCCAGTGCAAAGTTAGCTTGTGAACAGCAAACAAGTGAGGAAAAAGGACTCTCGGTGTGCTTTTGGTTTGTTACGCACTTTGTTTAGCTACCACATGCGACACTACACATCCCATTTCTTTCCCTTGTTTGTCTTTCTTTGCAGATTAAACTTCTGCAGGCAAAGAGAATAATGTGGTAAATGCGTCAGAGACATTGTGTCAGCTTGTTATAATGTTCCTGTTTTTGTTTAGGGAAATACAACCAGTATTTCTGCAATGTTGTGTCTTTAGCTTCCAACTAGGGCTCCCCTACTCCCCTGAGGTCTTCCGCTATGGGAAGCAGAGCCTGGAAATGTTACTTTTTTGTCTGACTACAATTCCCAGAATTCCTGTCCCCCCAAAATGACTAGACTCTTGGAGCTATAAGACAAAATGCAACTTTCCCAGCTCTTGACAGAACTCATGGTTGGGCCAGACATAGTTCAGCCTAAGGCAAATTGCACCAACAGTAGTATCGCTATTAAATGACTGTGAATTTAGGAAGTGGGCCTCAAAACGTATGTTTGGGCTAAAGTTAAGTCCCAGCGAGGGGCAGCCTTATCATTAGCCTGAATTAGGCGGCCATTTCAGGCAGAAGATCTGGAGTGTCATGACAGAGCAGGACATTTATTCATCTGGTTTAGTTTGACAATTTTACAATAGTATTTTTCCTGTCAGGGAGAAGGAGGAAGAGGCACTTGTGGGGTTTTCTGCCTCGTGCCAAAATAATTTAGTTTGTTTTGGGTATTAAGGCCTAAGGCCAGTTCTTATGCCTAAATTAGAGTAGACCCATTACTCAATCAAATTTGTGTAAGTGTTGAGATACGAAGTTCCCACTGCTTTAATGGGTCTGCCCTACGGTGTGACAACATAGCACATATGCTTAGATTGTTATGATCCGCAGTTTTTCAAAGCAGGTCCCTGCTGGTTTCTACAAGCTATCACTTCAGACCTTTGGCAAGAGCAACTGTTCTCAATCCTCCCGCACCCCCCAAAAAATGTCCATTTGGCAGGGAAGAAGACCTTTGGCAAGAGCAACTGTTCTCAATCCACCACCCCCCACACCCCAAAAAATGTCCATTTGGCAGGGAAGGAGAGAGAGACAGAGAAGAGTGCAGGGGGAGACTGCAACTCCCAGAAGCCCCAGCCAAGATGGCTAAAGGTCAGGGATTCTGGGAGTTGATGTCCAAAACTTCAAAAGGCCTGAAGGGTCTTTTCAGTGCCCATGGGCACCCCCATGTGTCCCTAGCTGGTGGAGGGAAGCCATTACCCCAGGTTTTCAAAATAACAGTTGAGGCACGTGGCGAGAAGAGATTGCTCAGTAATGGATCTAGATGTGCCAGATACATAGCAAGTGTTTTCGACTTGCTTGTAAACAGTATCTTGGTGTGTGACATATTTTATGGAAAAAAAACCAGCTTAGAAAGAGCTTTGGGGAGTCTTGGCAGTCCTTCGAGACAAACGAGAACATAACAAAACAATGCAACAAGCAACTCTGAAACTGGACCAAGGGCTTGTCCATGGGTGATGAGAATTCAGGGCAGTGTGTCTTTGGAACAGCTTGCCTAAGAACACACACAAACAATAAGAACTCTGTCATGTTTTATTCAAAAAGCCATCTTGTCTGGTATCTCTTCCCCCCCCACAGTAGTCAATCCGATCCATCCAGAAAGCCTGCAGTTCAGGCCTTGAGGAGAACAACTCTCTCCGGCTCTTGGGCCCTCGCCCTCTGCCCTCAGGTTGATGGTCATCCACGAAAGTGCTTTTTAATTATCTCAATTTATATCAGAACCTGGACATTTTACTTTTTGTGTGTTTGTGTGTTTTCCAAATAATCCTGAGTGGAGGATTCTGGGACTCCCCCCCCCCCCCCAGTAGTCAATCCGATCAATCCAGAAGGCCTGCAATTCAGGCCTTGAGGAGAACAACTCTCTCTGGCTCTTGGGCCCTCGCCCTCTGCCCTCAGGTTGATGGTCATCCACGAAAGTGCTTTTTAATTATCTCAATTTATATCAGAACCTGGACATTTTACTTTTTGTGTGTTTTCC